ACTCAGTTTTGTCCTCCTCCCAGAGTGCGAAGAGCCTTGGCGTGACCCTGGACAACACCCTGTCGTTCCCCGCTAACATCAAGGCGGTGACCTGATCCTGTAGGTTCATGCTCTACAATATTCGGAGAGTACGACCCTGCCTTACACAGGAAGCGGCACAGGTCCTAATCCAGGCACTTGTCATCTCCCGTCTGGATTACTGCAACTCGCTGTTGGCTGGGCTCCCTGCCTGTGCCATTAAACCCCTACAACTCATCCAGAATGCCGCAGCCCATCTGGTGTTCAACCTTCCCAAATTCTCTCACGTCACCACGCTCCTCCGCACACTCCACTGGCTTCCAGTTGAAGCTCGCATCTGCTACAAGACCATGGTGCTTGCCTACGGAGCTGTGAGGGGAACGGCACCTCCTTACCTTCAGGCTCTGATCAGTCCCTACACCCAAACGAGGGCATTGCGTTCATCCACCTCTGGCCTGCTGGCTCCCCTACCTCTGCGGAAGCACAGTTCCCGCTCAGCCCAGTCAAAACTGTTCGCTGCTCTGGCACCCCAATGGTGGAACAAGCTCCCTCACGACGCCAGGACAGCGGAGTCACTCACCACCTTCCGGAGACATTTGAAACCCCACCTCTTTAAGGAATACCTGGGATAGGATAAAGTAATCCTTCTACCCCCCCTAACCCCCCCCCCCCCCCCCCCCCCAAAAAAAAAAAAAAAAAAAAAAACATTGTAAAGTGGTTATCCCACTGGCTATAAGGTGAATGCACCAATTTGTAAGTTGCTCTGGATAAGAGCGTCTGCTAAATGATGTAAATGTAAATGTAAAACTGAGCCTTGCAGCGTTTGATCGTCGACTCTGCTGAGAGGTCGGGGAAGAGGTCAATCTCCCAGAAGTCTGAGTAATGATCAACTAACAGGTGAAAGTCTTTGCCACTGTGCTGAAAGAGATCTAGACTTACTATCTGCCAGGGACGCAACGGTAGCTTGCGGGACATCATTGTCTCTCTCTGTTGCTCAATAGAATATTCATTGCAGATTGTGCATTTGCTGACATAGTCTTTTATTTCACTGCATTCCTGGCCAATACAGTGTGTCACGTGCTTGTCTGTAATAGGCCTCACCCCCAATGTGACTTGAGTGCACACACGCCAGCATCTCAGGGCGCAGGGACCGGGGGATATCGACTCTCTTACCTTTGAACAGCACCCCATTTTGAACACTGAGCTCCTCTCTGACTGGTCAACATTCTCTGACGGATAGTTTCTTCCTTGCAGTCGGGCCAGCCCATCAGAATCACAGACCTCAATGTCTGGAGGTGCTCGTCACTGCCTGTGTTCTGTCTGATTTGTACAATGTGCTGGTCCGTAACAATGAGGTAATCAGCCTGGTTTATGAGTTCAACATCCACTTGCTCTGTTTGTAAGCTGTACACTGTGTGTTGTTCATGCATAGAGCATGTGTGTGTGTCTGATGCAGTAGCCCTGCTGAGCGTGTCACTCACATACATCTCCGGCCCTGGCTTATACACCACCTTGAGGTTGTAGCTTTTTAGAGCCTGTAGCATGTTCTGCAGGCGTGTTGTCATGCCCGTACAGGTAGTGGTGGAAGCGTTGGCATGCAAACACAATTCTGAGGCACTCCTTCTCTATCTGAGCATAGTTCTGCTCTGTTGAAGTGAGTATCCTGGAGGTGAATTGCTCAGGCTGGCCCTCCTAAATGAAGGGAAGGGGAAAGGGGGATATCTAGTCAGTTGTACAACTGAATGCATTCAATGGAAATGTGTCTTCCGCATTTAACCCAACCCCTCTGAATCAGAGACTTGCGGGGGGGCTGCCTTAATCGAAATCCTCGTAATCTGCATGGGAGCAGTTGTTGTTGGGGGTTAACTGCCTTGCTCAAGGGCAGAACGGCAGATTTTTCCACCTTGCTGGCTCAGGGATTCGATCCAGCGACCTTTCGGTTACTTGCCCAACGCTCTTAACCGCTAGGCTACTTGTCGCAACAGCCCAGTTCATACTGGCTCAAATCACTCTGAATCATGACAGGTTTTGACACATCGTAGTATCGCAGGACAGGTGTCTGGGTGATCAGTTACTTTATTTCCCTTACCGCTGTGTCGTGTTTTGGAAGCCAATGCCAATGGTGTCCTTGTTCATGAGCCTCCTTAGTTGCTCAGACACCTCAGAGAGCCGTGGCAGGAACTTGACCAGGTAGGTGACGAATCTGACGAAGTGCTGCACTGCCTTCACGTCAGATGGGTGGGGGGGGGGGGGGGGGGGGACATGTCCAGCCTTCACATTCTCTGAATCGGCCTTCAATCAGGTGGAGGGCAAGATGTGCCCGTGAAAGCGGACCTCTGGCACTTTGAACTGAAGCTTTTTATGCTTAGTCTTAGCTTGACCTGTCTGCATCTGTCTATCAGGGCCAGCAGCTTGGTCGTCGTGATCACAGTCTGCCTCCTCATCACTGTCCCCACAGCCCACTATGATTATGTAATCTACTATGGGTTCCACGCCACTGAGTCCAACCAGCAGCTTGTGCTGTTTCCGCTGATACACCTCTGGATCCACAGAGACCCAAAACGGGAGCTTCAACCACCTCTTTCTGCCCCAGGGTGTCCAAAAGGTGGTCAGGTAGGTGCTGGGCTCGTTGAGCTTGCACTGCAGGAAGGCATCTCTGGCGTCCACGAGTGTGAAGACTCTGTCCTTTGGGAGCTTGTAAAGAACATCCTCCAACATGGGCATAATGTAATGTGAACATCGCATAGCCCGGTTGAGGTGTTAAGGATCAATGCATAGCTGTAGCTTGTCTGGTTTCTTGACGATAACCATATTACTAATCCAGTCTGTAGGCTCGGTGATGGATGTGATGTGGCCATCTGCTTTCATGGCCTCTGGTACTTTGCGGGGTGCACACTGGACTGGCTGGATTGCTGCGTCCAAAGTGGACTTCACCAGGAACTGACTTGACCGGTGCATTGAAGACATCATGGTATTTGCTTAGGAGTGTCTCATTGCTCAGGGGCCCAGCCTGGACTTTGTCTATTGTGTTAAGGTCTGCTGGGATGGTGAAGTTAATAAGCCAGAGGTGCTTGCATGTTGACCCTGACAGTAATGGCTGTTGACTAGCCTCAACTATTTCAAACTCAATGGTGTGTTTCTGGCCACACACAACACACTCTGTCACAAACAGGCCTAAACAGGTCATCACCTGGCCTGAATACAGTTTAAGCTTGGTGCTACTCTGTGTTTGTTTGTCTCTGGGCGCGAGCCTCCTTTTGTCTTTAAGGCTCATAACGTTACATGTGGCCCCCAAATCTAGCTGGCATTTTTGTGGTTTATTATTAAGTTGCAGAGTGACAAACCACTTTGCACTCGCTAGCATAAACATCATTCTCAGTGCTGTTTTTCTCTTCATCTGTTTCTGTTTCAATGGAGTGCACTTTACCCTCCTTTCTCTTGCTCTTCAGGCGAAGTGATTAGCTGTGCCACAGGATTTTACACATTTTCCAGTAGGCTGTGCAGTGTTCTTTTCCACGTCCGTGAGAAATGCCACAATATCTGCACGTATTGGGCTGTCTATTGCGGAGTTGGCTGTAGTATTAGCATTAGCTGTGGCAAAGGGGAATTTCATAGATGGCTGCCTGAATGTAGCATTGACATTGTCCATATGCTGCCTTTCTAGCTCCATGGACCTCATCCGTATAGGAGTAATCTTTGCCACACGGCATGTCTCCACTGCCAAGACCAGTGTCAGGTCCAGTTCGCTCAGCAAACGTCTGCGCGTGCCCTCATCAGCTATGCCAAGCACTATCTTATCGCTGATCAGTTCGTCACTTAAAGCACCATATTCACGTGTAGCTGCCTTTTCCCTTAGCCTGGTGACAAAGCTGTAAATGGACTCCCCATCCTCCTGTTTGCAACAGCCGAAAACATAACCCTCGTAGATAACATTCTTTGCTGGTTTAAAGTAGTGTTCAAGAGCATCAAGAATAGCTGTTGCGTTACCTTGCTGAGCTGCTGTTAGGTTCAGGTTGTGGTTGTATATGTGTCAGCATTCAGTGCCCATTATAGTCCACAAAGTGGCAGCCACTGCATCATCATCCTTTTCCAGATGTCCAGTAGCTGGTGCATAGTCCTCCCATTCTCCTCTGGACGCATCCCAGTTCGTGCTCCAATCTCCGCTGAGCTTCATAATGGCGGGAGGGGGACTGTTAGCAGCCATGTCTATCCGATGCTAACAACACTGAAGCTAATTGCTTACTAGCAAACTCACAGTAGTTAAGGTGAATTCCGGCAATATTTTACTCAGTTGAATTTTTTGTAAACCCAAACAGTTTGCTCTGATTTGCGGTGGTCATGTTTGGATGTTAAATGACGAGACAGAGTCATTGATGAAAGTAACCAGTTGTATCAGCACATTGCAAGGTTATATGAAGTACACTGGTAAAACACTGGTGTTGCAGTAATGAACATTTACCAACAGATAGCATCAACGTGCCATCTTACACCCATAATAAACGTGATCTCCATTGGTTGATGCATAAAACGCTAATATCAAAATGGCCTCATATGGGTTCAAGGATCAATGGGAATACTAAAAAAACTAAAAAAAACTATGTGATTGGGTTGCAAAAATCTGACCAATTGTGTTTGGACATAGAATGACCAATTGGAAGCCATAGGAGGTCATTTGAAATAAAATACTCCTTCATATTTCTTCTGTAAATACCAATGAAGGCTGAAGGATGAAAGGCCGAAATGCGCTGGTTTTATCAATAAAGAACTGCTTTTATTAATTTCCACTGGCCTCCAATGGATTTCCTTTTCGTCTGATTCAGTTTGCTCCTCAATTCATACGATATAGGCTTATAGAGAGTGTTTGATAGGCTTTGGAATTTATGGAGAACTTAAAATGACTCCATGCGCCATCTTTGTGAATGCAGTCGTGTCCCCTAGGTTTGTTACTGCGGCGGCAGATGCGGTAGTGGCAGAGGTAAACAATGGCGGTCATCAGTGAGCAGTGTGCACCCATCGTGGTGTACCAGGAGGACGTGAGCGAGAACCCTGTCACTGTGCGAACCAAGAGGGAGAGCCTACAAGAGTCTTCACGCACTCCAGCCTGTATGCTTTTCACATGTTAGGGTATCTCTAGTTTAGTAAACTCAGCTAATATTAGGGATGCAGTAGCCTAGCCTTTTGAAAACATGCAGTGTCCCCAAACAAGTGAAATTGTTTACACAATCATGGTGATGTGCATTAGTGTCCCCCACTGTCCCACACACTTCTCTCCAATTACCTCATTGTTATGTTATGATATATAAATATTGAAATAATACAGTGTGAATTTGTGTTTGTCCTTAATGAGGGTGTGACAGCCTGTTTGGTGGGTTCCATGGGGACCCTCAGTGCAAGGATCGCCCGTTTGCCTCCCCTCTTCAGCTCTGTGAGTGTAGGGCACATGCGCACGCACACACACGCACACACACACCTCATAGTATAGTCTTTGTATCATGACCTGGATGCTGTGTGTTTCAGATGGGTTATGACCCCGGACCGACGCTGCATACTCACCTAGCTGTTATCGCAGAGGGCAAAGGTATGGACACATGGTTTCTTATGAGTTCATGACATTTCAAACAATCCTTATGTCTTCTTATGGCTTCAAGGAATAGGAAAAGGGAAATATAATTTTAGTGGTGGTCTAAAATGGTTTGATATAAGGTTGAGTAATCGTGATATCTCTCCTCCCTCCAGACAGACAAGACAAGCCAGGGTCAAAGTTCACGCGGCTGTCGTCCCAGCAGGACTCGTCCACGTCACTGCAGAATCGCCGGCGCAACATGCCAGCTGAAAAGGTCAGGGCTCACAATTGATGGAGGGAGGAGGATGGTGGTGAGGAGGTGTGACGTATCGCCTGTGAAACTCAAATGTCAACTGCCTATTATGTGAATGGTGTTTTTATCAATAATCATCTGTCCTAATTGAGAACACTGAATCTGGTTGGTCACATTGTTATCCTGTATACATAATGTTATTACTGGAATAGGCTCTTCTGACGCATTCAACTCATGTGTAAATGACATATTCAACAGACTTGTTACTGATTGAATTAAGAGACGATACTACATACCAAGCTTAAACTGACAATTAAAATGGGATTTTATGTTGGTATTTTGTGTGTGTTCAAATAGCAATGTGTGTTATCCCAGCAGGCAGAGGAAGTGGGCATGGGAAATCAAAAATGTTCCAGCTGAGATGGTATAATGTGTATCTATCTGCTTTCTCTCTCTTACCGTCAGCGTGAGGTGGGCATGCCCAAGCTGGTGGAGCTGTATCAGCACCCAGGGTTCAGAGATGACATGCCCATGCCCCTGCCACACAGCAACACCTTCTCTACTATCATCACCCACGTAGTGAGGGCACAGCCACACCTCGCTGACAAGGTATTAAACAGCACTGTATCAATAGTCCAGCGGATAGGTGAAATAATTGTTCCATTTTATGATAGAAGTATAAACCTTGGTACACCAATACTAGATACCTTAAGGAACATTTTAAAGATTGGAGGCAGTCTGGGAAGCCTGTCAGTCAACCAGGGTGACCATTTTAATAAAATGGCTGTCATCCGGATTTCCTGTTAGAAGAAAATAGGGTAGAATCGTTCCAAACAATATCATAATGACTTTGTAATGTTATCTATCCTCCAAATAAACCCCACAGATAATATGGACAATGCTTCTGATCATAATGTACTCCTAAGACCTAAATAGGGGTCATATTGAGGTCATTTTTGACCATTGTCCAGCGGCTATGTGAAGAAATTGTGGGCTTTGTGATAGAGCCACCAAATTTCACACACAGCTAGGGCATGTCTAAATAAGTATTTTTGGCTATAGTGCCATCAGAGATTGTCCATTACTCCCCTGGCGGTCATTTCCAATATGGCCGCTGAAAAATAGGCTTAAGAAACCCAATGGAAACGATACAGGTAGGCTAGTCTGTAGCTTGTTACATCTGCTCTGAAATGCATTTACTCACATCACTCAAGAGGATCTAAATGCATATTCTCATGAAACTGAGTGAGATCAAATGGTTATGGTTGGCATTTAGATGCAGCTTGGACGTTTCACCCGTAAAACGAGAAGAAATATAATTCACGATTGACAGTGATGATGGCCTATTTTGAAATGAGGTAGGCCTAACTTGGTGTTTGAGGGTATTAAATATACAAACATTTATTCAAGTCAATACGTAGGCATAGGCAGACGTGGCATTTGAATGATGTGTTTCATGCATATACAATGATATTATTCAACAGGCTTCTGTGCAAACGTTGATTGAGAAATAATGACGTCATTTTCTTTTTTTTTGCGCTCAGGCACCTAAAAAAATAGCACTACACCACTGAGTATAATAGGTTAAATCTCAGTGGCACTATAGCTAAAAATATTTTTTTGACTTACTTTGTGTGAAGGCTGAAAGGTCTCATCATAAAATTATTTTGTTAAAATGGGTTACTTGTCTCTCTGCTGGACATAATGCATTCATATGTGATTTGACCTAAAGTGACGTGTACAGGGCAGGTTTCCTGTCAGTTTCATAAAATTGGCACAAAACAGAATATCATATTATACAGTGAGGGAAAAAAGTATTTGATCCCCTGCTGATTTTGTACATTTGCCAACTGACAAAGACATGATCAGTCTATAATTTTAATGGTAAGTTTATTTGAACAGTGAGAGACAGAATAACAACAAAATAATCCAGAAACATGTATGGCAAAAATGTTAGAAATTGATTTGCATTTTAATGAGGGAAATAAGTATTTGACCCCTCTGCAAAACATGACTTAGTACTTGGTGGCAAAACCCTTGTTGGCAATCACAGAGGTCAGACGTTTCTTGTAGTTGGCCACCAGGTTTGCACACATCTCAGGAGGGATTTTGGAGGATTCCACTCCTCTTTGCAGATCTTCTCCAAGTCATTAAGGTTTCGAGGCTGACGTTTGGCAACTCGAACCTTCAGCTCCCTCCACAGATTCTCTATGGGATTAAGGTCTGGAGACTGGCTAGGCCACTCCAGGACCTTAATGTGCTTCTTCTTGAGCCACTCCTTTGTTGCCTTGGCCGTGTGTTTTGGGTCATTGTCATGCTGGAATACCCATCCACGACCCATTTTCAATGCCCTGGCTCAGTGAAGGAGGTTCTCACCCAAGATTTGATGGTACATGGCCCCATCCATCGTCCCTTTGATGCGGTGCAGTTGTCCTGTCCCCTTAGGCATAATGTTTCCACCTCCATGTTTGACGGTGGGGATGGTGTTCTTGGGGTCATAGGCAGCATTCCTCCTCCTCCAAACACGGCGAGTTGAGTTGATGCCAAAGAGCTCGATTTTGGTCTCATCTGACCACAACACTTTCACCCAGTTCTCCTCTGAATCATTCAGATGTTCATTGGCAAACTTCTGACGGGCCTGTATATGTGCTTTCTTGAGCAGGGGGACCTTGCGGGCGCTGCAGGATTTCAGTCCTTCACGGCGTAGTGTGTTACCAATTGTTTTCTTGGTGACTATGGTCCCAGCTGCCTTGAGATCATTGACAACATCCTCCCGTGTATTTCTGGGCTGATTCCTCACCGTTCTCATGATCATTGCAACTCCACGAGGTGAGATCTTGCATGGAGCCCCAGGCCGAGGGAGATTGACAGTTATTTTGTGTTTCTTCCATTTGCGAATAATCGCACCAACTGTTGTCACCTTCTCACCAAGCTGCTTGGCGACAGCCTTGTGTAGGTCTACAATCTTGTCCCTGACATCCGTGGAGAGCTCTTTGGTCTTGGCCATGGTGGAGAGTTTGGAATCTGATTGATTGATTGCTTCTGTGGACAGGTGTCTTTTATACAGGTAACAAGCTGAGATTAGGAGCACTCCCTTTAAGAGTGTGCTCCTAATCTCAGCTCATTACCTGTATAAAAGACACCTGGGAGCCAGAAATGTTTCTGATTGAGAGGGGGTCAAATACTTATTTCCCTCATTAAAATGCAAATCAATTTCTAACATTTTTGACATGCGTTATTCTGTCTCTCACTGTTCAAATAAACCTACCATTAAAATTATAGACTGATCATGTCTTTGTCAGTGGGCAAACGTACAAAATCAGCAGGGGATCAAATACTTTTTTCCCTCACTGTATGGCACTTTTGGGCCATTTTATTGTGTTTTTCCAAACAATTATTTTATTTCCCCTCAAACATTTTAAGCCATTATTGGGCTGTATGGACCAATTATCAGTGGTGGACAAAGTACTCAATTATCATACTTGAGTAAAAGTAAAGATACCTTAATAGAAAATGACTCAAGTTAAAGTGAAAGTCACCCAGTAAAATACTACTTGAGTAAAAGTCTAAAAGTATTTGGTTTTAAATATAGAGGCTCTGCAAAAGTAAATGGTATTGCTAAAATGTGACCGACCACCTTGAATCGGTCTTAAGTAGCAACATTTGAAATTGTGTTTTTTACATTGGATAAAATCAGAGACACATAGCTACAAAATGGTATATCATACACTGCATTTAAGGGAACAATGGGAAAGTAATTCTGCTTTGAAAGTTGATAAACTTGTAATCTCACTTTTGAGAAAATGGCCTTTGAATGTTTTGATACCTAGTGAAGCGCTCTTCTTTGTGTACACCCATTCAGCATCGTTCACACCCTCTTAAGCTTTAGCCCCACCCATCTCGTTTCGCTCTCGGATTGTTCAGAGCACACACTTGACATTGGGGAAGCTGGTTAAATAAAACACTGCTCTTTTTAGACATCCCTATTTCCCCAACATAATGGCAATGTCTGTATTTCACCAAATAACTCAAAATGGATGTATTTTGATGTTTTGAAGTTCTACATTTCATTCAGCATAATCTATTCTTTCTATTTATGTAAATGTCGGTAGCATAGTATGCTATGATCAATTGCTGGTAGTTAAAACTTCAAAATTATATTTTTACTCATGGAAATCTGAGTTCGTCCCATTGTTTGCTATAGGGGGAATAGGGGTATGACTGTCTATTTCGCCAAATATCTCACAATGTTTATATTTAGTTTTTTTCAAGTCGGACACCATTTTAATCAGGAGAATGTCCTCTTTGTAGTGATGTAAGGTTGGGCAGCGAGCTCTGCTGTCATCAAACCCTAGCCTTTCAAGGTGTCAGAAATTACACATTACTGTTGGAACTCTGAGGATGCCCCATTGTTTCCCTGTAGGGAAATTCTACAAGGACAGGTCTGTCTATTTCGCCAAATATCTCACAATGTGTATATTTAGATTTTTTCAAGTCGGACACCATTTTAATCAGGAGAATCTCCTCTTCGTAATTATGTAAGTCTGGGCAGCGAGCTCGGTTGTCATGGATCACTAGACCATAAATAGTCAGAAGTTGTAATTTTTTCCCTACTTCCTCATTATGCAGACATAAGCACAGTTGACACCATCGAGGTGTCGATGTTTACTTTCTACACAAGTTTTATAATTTTTTGTCCTAAGAACATATTGAAGTGGTAAAATAATAAGGGATAAAAAAATGGTGCCATTTAAGGGAAATGGAATTCTAAGCATCACTCCAGTCAGAAGAGGCTCTGCAAAGGTTCGTTTAAATTCATTTGCTATGGCCTCGCGCTAGTGTTCCAGCTCAGCCAACGTTCTTTGGCCGTTTTTCAGCCTTGGGTGGATTTTGACTCGTTCTATTGTCCTGCTTACTATATTCAACGGGTGTTGTGCGTTCGTAAATTCATCAGTTATTCTGCGCTCTGGCATACTCAGACTGAATTTACAAATGCACCCAAAATGGTTACTTGCATAGTGGAGTCTTTTGTTAAGACATGTAGCTAGCTAGCTAGGTAAACAATGAACCTAGCTAGGTAAACAACGTGTAAGATCATACACGTCACGTAACGTTAGCTAGTTAAACAATTAACCATAGTGCCAACTCATGACGTTACTACCCTGCATGAATCTGCTGGTAGCTAACCAATCAGGTTCAATGTTAGCTAGCTAACATTAGGCTCTAACTAGCAAAGCAAACGGCTCTGAGATACAAATAATAACATCATACACGTAATGTTAGCTAGCGAACCAGCCAGCTAACGTTAGCTAGCTAACAGTACACTTTAACTTGAAATGTACAGTACACTTTAACCACTTTCTGTAAAAATTAGAAACATGTAATATCTGAACATTTAGCTAGCTAGACTATCTTACCCATATACATCATGCATGATGGATGCGTCTCCCTGTCACAATGCCATGGTTGCCCTTAGTTTGAAGATGTAATCCGGAGACAGGGGTTTTCTCCATCTCTTTAGCTATCATACTCTAATTCCACTGATTTCAAAACTCGATCCTCCAGAAAGTGGAGAGCAACACTTATGCAGCTCCACTATACAATACATTTTAAAAAAAAAGCTGCGTTAGACAGGATTACCTACACATACTGACCAGCTCAAATAGACAGAAGCCTTCTATATGGCAGACCAATCCGAACTCCTCTCTCAGCATGTCCAGCCCACTCATTATCTCAACCAATAATGGCTAGTGGGAAGGTTGCTGTCTTTTTCTGTGGTTTAACCAACTAGGCTCGTAATTTAACAATTGTATTCGTATTTACAGATTGGCATAGAAGTTTGTTATTAAGGCACATGAAAGTTCACATGTTCCAGAAGGCATTTCTGCCAAAAAACGCATTTAGATTTTTTAAAAATGTTTGGCTCTCCTGTGAAGTTGTGAACCGCGACGTACACCTACTTTCTTGAAACGGATAGCAGGTGCACACGCCAACACTCAGACATAATTTACAAACGAAGCATTTGTGTTTAGTGAGTCCGCCAGATCAGAGGCAGTAGGAATGACCGGGGATGTTCTCTTGATAAGTGTGTGTGAATTGGACAATTTTCCTGTCAAAATATAACAAGTACTTTTGGGTGTCAGGGAAAATGAATGGAGTTATAAAGTACATTATTTTCTTAGGAATGTAGTGAAGTAAAAGTAAAAATTGGCTAAAAAATATAAAAAGTAAGGTACAGATACAAAAAAAACTACTTAAGTAGTACTTTAAAGTATTTATACTTAAGTACTTTAAACCACTGCCAATTATTTATGCAGATATGGCTAACTGAATCTATTCCAATAAGGTCCCATGCAGTTTGTTGGTTGCCATATTGGAAATGGCCGCCAGGGGTGGTAATGGACAAAGTCTGTGATGGCACTATAGCCAAAAATACTTCTTTAGACATGCCCCAGCTGTTTGTGGAATTTGGTGGCTCTGTCAGTCTTCTTATTTTATTTTTTATTTTTGCTGGACTATGGTCAAAATGACCTCAATATGACCCCCATGAAGCTCTGGTTGACTGACGTGCTTCCCAGACTGCCTCCAATCTTTAAAATGTTTCTTAAGGTATCTAGTATTAGTGTACCAAGTTTGCTACTTGTATCATAAAGTGGAACGATCTCCGGTTATATTTGGTTCTTATCCGCTAGACTACAAGGCATATACTGTAGCCTTCTTCATTTGGTAGGGGGGATCAGTGTTTTATTGTTTTTCATTACTCACTTTGAAGAAAGGAAACAGTAGCCTGGTTCCAGATCTGTTTGGTCTTTGTTACTAACTACTATGGTCTTTGTCACACCAAACATGTAGTTAAACAAATCTGGGACCAGGCTAAGGAAACAGAGTATGGCTCATAAACATGAACTTGTGAAAGTAGATACATTTGTCAGAGCCAGACATATTCTCAAATTCAAATATGATCTCAAACATTGTCAGCAAACTATTCTAATTATCTGACTAATGTTTGAAAACATTTCATCCCCATCCTGTCCTGTAGCCCAGGTACAAGGCAGTGTTCCAACGCATTCTGTCTTCTTCTATGATGGAGGACTTTGTCATCGACTCCTTCTGGTGGCTGTTTCTACAGCACTTCCAGGTGAGATTGACAGAAAGTCCCATTTACGCACATATGTGTTTATTCTCTAGTGCAGTGCAGTTGCCAACAGACTTAAACCACAAGTGGTGTTACATTAAAGGCTGCAATGTTTTTGCTCTCCAGCCAGACACACGCATACAGGACAGCCTGTTTGTACGAATCGCAGAGAATTACATCCGAATCCTGACCCAGAGTTTAACATCACGCAGTGGCAAGTGGTTTCTCAGGGTAATGCCTATATTTCTCCACTCACGTGCAAGTTGATAGATTGATCATGCACATAACATACAATATTATAAGATTCAACTGAGCACTCACAGATGAAATGTATATATATTTTACATATATCTCACACTGAGTATAGTCAAAACTATTTCCTAATCTCTTTCCTCCTCTATAGGAGTTCCCCAGTACCCTGGCCCAGACCCTGTACTGCTGCTTCTGCTGTTGTTTCCCTCAGTCCTGCAGAACTATCCGCAGTGACACCTTCCTCATCCCACTGTGCTTTACTGCCTACCAGTGGACAGGAGGTGACACTGCACACACTCACTGAGAAAACATACATACACACGTAAATCACACAACCCGCTCTCTCTCTTTCTTTTAGTATTCTCTTACACTGTTTACCCCTATTTTTTGTCTGTCTGTCTGTCTGTCTGTCTGTCTGTCTGTCTGTCTGTCTGTCTGTCTGTCTGTCTGTCTGTCTGTCTGTCTGTCTGTCTGTCTGTCTGTCTGTCTGTCTGTCTGTCTGTCTGTCTGTCTGTCTGTCTGTCTGTCTGTCTGTCTGTCTGTCTGTCTGTCTGTCTGTCTGCCTGCCTGCCTGCCTGCCTGCCTGCCTGCCTGCCTGTCTGTCTGTCTGTCTCTCTCTCTCTCTCTCTCTCTCCTCTCTCTCTCTCTCTCTCTCTCTCTCTCTCTCCTCTCTCTCTCTCTCTCTCTCTCTCTCTCTCTCTCTCTCAGGTATCTGTCCTGCCCCTGATGTTTTTAAGAAGTGGGACTTTGAGGCTCTGGAGCCAGAGGAGGCCACTCATGTACAGTTTGTGTCTGGGAGCAAAAGGAATGAGAAAGAGAGTGACTCATGTCTGTCTCTCCTGGACACTATGTTCTCCAATGCCTATGTTGATGAGCCCTCTCATAGTAAATTGACCAGCAGTGCCACCACTCTACTGAGGAAGAAACCGGTCAGTCTCTTCATTTTGTCAAACACACGCAGGCATGCAAGCACGCACACTTACATGCGCATGCATACACACACACACACACACACACACACACACACACAAATACTCAGTCACACACACAAACACCCCAATGGGCAAAAACAGGTTGAATCAAAGTTGTTTCCATATAATTTCAACAACAAAATTCAATGTGATGATGTTGAATCAACGTGGAAAACTTCAACGTAAGGGAATTTAGTCTTTTTTTACCCAACATTTAACCTAAATCCAATGACATGGTGAAATGTTTTGTTGATTTCACGTTCAATTCACGTTAGTTGACAACTCAACCAAATGTAAATCAAAACTAGACATTGAAATTACTTCTGTGCCCAGTGGGACATCTTTTGATCAGAACTGATGCCATTATATGTGTGTCTCAGAGCTCATTGCTGACCAGTAGTAGTCACACCGCTCTGGAGAGCCAGCCATCTAAAAGCACAGTTAACACAACCAGTACTACGTCAGGCTCGGAAGGTAAACCTCTCTGTCTTTGGTAAGCGTAAGTAGTCCAAATGTAGTCTGTGTTTAGTGGTTTCTCTGCATGGACTAGATTCTAGTTTGAGGTTCATGGCATATGTCTTTGCTAGTGATATTGACTTCACCAGAACTCAACTTGCTCTTTGTGTGCTCTTCTTGTCTCCTTTTCTCCCCTGTCTCTCTGTTGTTGGCTGTGTGTGATGTTGTGGTTGTTCCAGAGAAGACCGTGGGCTCAGTGAACATCACAGGGACAGACCTGAAGGCCCTGACTGGACAGGCCAACCAGACACCTACCAGAGAGGTCAGACTGGCACTTCACACAGTCCAGCATTCATACTCATTCTTATCTTTTCTCTCTCTCTCTCTCTCTCTCTCTCTCTCTCTCTCTCTCTCTCTCTCTCTCTCTCTCTCCTCTCTCTCTCTCTCTCTCTCTCTCTCTCTCTCTCTCTCTCTCTCTCACACACCTTTCTCTTTTTCTCTCACCCCCTCTCTCATCCGCTCTCCTTCATATCCCTCTCTCATTCCCACTGTTTCTCCCCCTCTCCCCCTCTCCTCCAGTCCCATGTAGCCTACCCGGGTGTGGCGTTTAAGCGCAGTGTGTTTAACGTGTATGGCAACAGTCCTCTGGTGCAGTACTACATGCGTGTTCTCCACATGGACCCTAAGGTGGGACAGGACGTACTGGTGGTCAGGACCGAGATCAGCAAGCTGCCTCCATATCCTCACAATTATAATAATGGAATGTGTGTGTGTATATGAGTGTGCGTCCTTGCGTGGGTGCATGCGTTCATGCGTGTGTGTAAATGTGTATGTGTGTGTCCATGTACACCATAGATAATTCTGTTGATAAAGTTAGGGTGCTCCTGTTTTTGCCATTCGGCCGCCCTCATCCACATACAGTGCCTTCAGAAAATATTCATACCCCTTAACTTAATCCACATTTTGTTGTGTTACAGCCTGAATTCAAAATTGATTAAATATATTTTTCTCTCACCCATCTACACATAATACCCCGTAATGAGAAAGTGAAAACATGTTTGTAGACATTGTTGCTGATTTATTGAAAATGAAATACAGAAATATCTCATTTACATAAGTATTCACACCCCTGAGTCAATACTTTGTAGAAGCACCTTTGGCAGCGATTACAGCTGTGAGTCTTTCTGCGTAAGTCTCTAAGAGCTTCCAACACCTGGATTGTGCAACATTTGCCCATTATTCTTTTTAAAAAATATTCAAGCTCTGTCAAATTGATTGTTGATCATTGCTAGACAACCATTTTCAGCTATTGCCATAGATTTTCAAGTAGATTTAAGTCAAAACTGTAACTTGGCCACATAGGAACATTCGCTGTCTTCTTGGTAAGCAACTCCAGTGTAGATTTGGCATTGTGTTTTAGGTTATTGTCCTGCTGAAAGGCAAATTAATCTCCCAGTGTCTGGTGGAAAGCAGACTAAAGAAGATTTTCCTCAAGAATTTTGCCTGTGCTTAGCTCCATTCCGTATCTTTTTTATCCTGAAAACCTCCCCAGTCCTTAACGATTACAAGCATGCCCATAACATGATGCAGCCACCACTATGATTGAAAATGTGGAGAGTGGGACTCAGTATTGTGTTGTATTGGATTTGCCCCAAAAATAACACTTTGTTTTCAGGACAAAAAGTGAATTGCTTTGCCACATTTTTTGCAGTATTACTTTAGTGCCTTGTTTCAAACAGGATGCATGTTTTGGAATATTTGTATTCTGTACAGGCTTCATTCTTTTCACTCTGTCAGTTAGGTTAGTATTATGGAGTAACTACAATGTTGTTGATCCATCCTCAGTTTTCTCCTATCACAGCCATTCAACTCTATAACAGTTTTGAATTCATCATTGGTGAAATCCCTGAGCAGTTTCCTTCCTGAGTTAGAAAGGACGACTGTATCTTTGTAGTGATTGGGTGTACTGATATTCCATCCAAAGTGTAGTTAATAACTTCACCATGCTCAAAGGGATATTCAATGTCTGCTTTTTTTTACCCATCTACCAATTGGTACTTTTCTTTGCGAGGCATTGGAAAACCTCCCTGGTCTTTGTGGTTGAATCTGTGTTTGAACTTCACTGCTCGACTGAGGGACCTTACAGATAATTGTATGTGTGGGGTACAGAGATGAGCTAGTCATTCAAAAATCATGTTAAATTCTATTATTGCAACTTATTATGTGACTTGTTGAGCAAATTATTACTGCTAAACTCATTTAGGCTTGCCATAACAAAGGTGTTGAATAGTTACTGACTCAAGACATTTCAGCTTTTCATTTTGTATTAATTAGTAAACATTTCTAAAAATATAATTCCACTTTGACATCGGGTATTGTGTGTAGGCCAGTGACAAAAAAATCTCTATTTAATCAATTTTAAATTCATACTGTAACACAACAGAATGCAGAAAAAATCAAGGGGTGTGAATACTTTCTGAAGGCACTGTACATGACATCACAGCCAGTGTTCCTTCCTTGACCCCATGGTGATGTCACGGCTGGGTCAGTGACATACAGGGACATTCTGAGCCATGCCCAGGAGCGTTCTGTGGCCCACCGCAGGGACCTCAGGACCATGTGGGGCCAATACTCCAAGGATCTCTATGTTCTCAACCAGAGGAAGCTGGACGAGCACTACGAAAACTTCAGGTACAGTAAACATTCCCAACACCACAGCCCAACACTACAGTGTATATCTTACTGTAGTAAGATATACACTGTAAGATATACACTGAGTATACAAAAAATAAAGAACACCTGCTCTTTCCATGACAGACTAACCAGGTGAATGCAGGTGAAGGCTATGATCCATTACTGATGTCACCTGTTAGATCCACTTCAATCAGTGTAGATAAAGGGGAAAAGACAGGTTAAAGAAAGATTTCTAAGCCTTGACAGAATTGAGACATGGATTGTGTATGTGTGCCATTCAGAGGGTGAATGGGCAAGACAACATTTTTATTTAACCTTTATTTAACTCGGCAAGTCAGTTAAGAACAAATTCTTATTTACAATGACGGCCTACACCGGCCAAACCCAGACAACGCTGGGCCAATTGTGCGCTGCCCTATGGGACTCCCAATCACGGGCCGTTTTTTTTATGGGGGGGGGGGGGGAGGGATTACTTTATACTATTCCAGGTAATCCTTAAAGAGGTAGGGTTTCAAGTGTCTCCGGAAGATGGTCAGTGACTCCGCTGTCCTGGCGTCGTGGGGGAGCTTGTTCCACCATTGGGGTGCCAGAGCAGCAAATAGCTTTGACTGGGCTGAGCGGGAACTGTGCTTCTGTAGAGGTAGGGGAGCTAGCAGGCCAGAGGTGGATGAACGTAGTGCCTTCGTTTGGGTGTAGGGTCTGATCAGAGCCTGAAGGTAAGGAGGTGCCGTTCCCCTCACAGCTCCGTAGGCAAGCACCATGGTCTTGTAGTAGATGCGAGCCTCAACTGGAAGCCAGTGGAGTGTGCGGAGGAGTGGGTGACATGAGAGAACTTGGGAAGGTCGAACACCAGACGGGCTGCGGCGTTCTGGATAAGTTGTAGGGGTTCAATGGCACAGGTAGGGAGCCCAGCCAACAGCGAGTTGCAGTAATCCAGACGGGAGATGACAAGTGCCTGGATTAGGACCTGTGCCGCTTTCTGTGTAAGGTGGGGTCGTACTCTGCGAATGTTGTAGAGCATGAACCTGCAGGATCGGGTCACCGCTTTGATGTTAGCGGAGAACGACAGGGTGTTGTCCAGGGTCACGCCAAGGTTCTTTGCACTTTGGGAGGAGGACACAATGGAGTTGTCAACCGTGATGGCGAGATCATGGAGCGGGCAGTCCTTCCCCTGGAGGAAGAGCAGCTCCGTCTTGCCGAGGTTCAGCTTGAGGTGGTGATCCGACATCCACACTGATATGTCTGCCAGACATGCAGAGATGCGATTCGCCACCTGGTTATCAGAAGGGGGAAAGGAGAAAATTAATTGTGTGTCATCTGCGTAGCAATGATAGGAGAGACCATGTGAGGATATGACAGAGCCAAGTGACTTGGTGTATAGAGAGAATAGGAGAGGGCCTAGAACTGAGCCCTGGGGGACACCAGTGGTGAGAGCACGTGGTACGGAGACAGATTCTCGCCACGCCACCTGGTAGGAGCGACCTGTCAGGTAGGACGCAATCCAAGAGTGAGCAGCGCCGGAGATGCCCAACTCGAAGAGGGTGGAGAGGAGGATCTGATGGTTCACAGTATCAAAGGCAGCGGATAGGTCTAGAAGGATAAGAGCAGAGGAGAGAGAGTTAGCTTTAGCAGTGCGGAGAGCCTCCGTGACACAGAGAAGAGCAGTCTCAGTTGAATGACCAGTCTTGAAACCAGACTGGTTTGGATCAAGAAGGTAATTCTGAGAGAGATAGCAGGAGAGTTGGCTAGAGACGGCACGGCACACTCAAGAGTTTTGGAGAGAAAATAAAGAAGGGATACTGGTCTGTAGTTGTTGACATCGGAGGGATCGAGTGTAGGTTTTTTGAGGAGGGGTGCAACTGAGATGCAATGCCTTAGACCGCTGCGCCACTCTGTAAGTGCCTTTGAACTGGGTATGTTAGTAGGTGCCAGGCGCAACGGTTTGTGTCGAGAACTGCAACCCTGCTGGGTTTTTCAGGCTCAACAGTTTTCTCCCCTGTGAAAATAAGTGTTTTACGTTGTGTAATATTTTCATATGTTACTCTCTGCCCGAATGTATCTTTGCTTTTTTTGTATTTTCAATAGAACATAAAGTGAACAAAAGCATGCTTGATACTGTCCTGTATTGGTGACGCTCCTTTCTCTCTCTTTTACTCAGGAAACAGAAAAAGATCCTGTCCCAGCAGACAACTATCAAACGACTGTGCCAGCTACTGGTCCCAGAGACCATTGTAAGTTCTACATGACTGTCCTGTGAGTCCTCACTATTGTCGTATTAAAGGTGGTACTGTTGTGTTGTGCTACAGAGTGTATGGCTTAACCTGATCTATATGAATTTCAGTAATGGGCGGCAGGGCCCTCACTGCTGTAGAATGAAGGTAGATAAGCTATAAAGTAGCTACAAGTACAGTAGCTGGATACCCCTTTAATGACAGTTCTGTCATTCTTATTGTAGAATGAAGAGGACACCAGGACCAGCTCTGAGGTCATGCACGCCTTCGAAATGGCTGTGTCTGGGCTGGACAAAGTCACCCCTGACCCCACAGTCTGACCCCTGACCCCCACGGTGTGACCCGTCAACCCTGAACCTGAACCCTGACTACCGTCATATCGGTAATGCATAAAAACACATGCTTCACCTGTATTGGCTTTGATTGTATTTGGCTCTTCAGGGTACACGCTGTCTGTGCAGGAATGCTGTAATGAACTACCACAGGCACAATGTGGCGGTATATACATGGCTAAAAACACCAGTGTCTGAATGGTGTTGACTCTGAGAACTCATTACAAACAAAGACTGGAAGAGTGTAACTTAAATTAAATTAAATATGGATAGGTTGGGATTTTTGACAGAGATCTTGGCTTGATGATAGACAATATTTAATTGACCTCCCAGACGAGACCCCTCAACACAGACAGCACAGTAGATTGATTACATGAAGCATAGAGGATCAAATGATGACTCATGGTAAGAAACAGGACAACGACATTAATTACTGATAAAGAAAACAAATTACGTTGCTTTTCTCTGACGCCAGCTCAAACAGAGGGCTGGATCAACAACACTTAGCTAACAGCGTGATCTGTGTCATCTAGAAAGAGAAAGGGAGACAGACCAAATGACCGACAGCCGGCCATTGGAATTCCCTGAATGTGATATATAAACTTGTTATCGTAAAATATTTATTACATGACATATAAAAGGAGAAATATCACACTTCTGAGCCAAGCGGCACACTAGGGTGAGTCCACAGGCCATTTAAGGAGATTTGTTTGAACAACACTGATTCCTTTGCTTCTGTATCTTTGGCCGTATCTCGCTATTCTTAAATCAATGTTTTAAAGTGGATTTTAAAGGGGCAATCTGCTGTTGCTACATACATTTTTGGGCTTATAAATTAATGATATGTACCCATTGATTCTTGAAGAATATAACATATAAATGTCTCATGAACTTAGTTCAACTGTTGTAACCCATCACAATCAAATATATAAGCTTGTTTTGTAAACAAAGTAAATGTAAACAAATAATATATAGCCTCAAAATATATCATGGATGGTCAATCCTTGCATCCATAGCTCTGTCTATAGATATGAGTGGTTAAATTTTTCCAGCCCCATCCCTCAGCTTTTTACCAAAACAGGTGGGTAGAACGCTTTGTTATTGTTTCAACTGCTGATTGCCGCTTTAAGGGGATTTTTCAGTCAGCTATGCCATTCTGGTATTACAGTTGAAGGCTGCTTGGTTACACTGTAATCCTCAAAGACAGGTGTGAATGAAGGACTGAAACAATAAATTTAGTTTATAACTTATATAACAAACAATGTAGATTATTGTTCTGGGCATGTATTCACAGAGCTTCTGAGAGTAGGAGTGCTGCTCTAGGGTCAGGTCCCCCCTGCTCATGTAATGTTATTTATAATGATTTTTAAAAGTAAAACTGATCAGAGAATTGGCGATGATGGTATGATTTATTATCTGATATACTATAGGTCAGTGATTCTCAACTGGCAGGTCACGACCCAAATTTGGGTTGCGGGAGGTTTTGAATGGGTCACGGGTGTCTGAGTAAAAAAAAATATATATATACAGTGGGGAGAACAAGTATTTGATACACTGCCGATTTTGCAGGTTTTCCTACTTACAAAGCATGTAGAGGTCTGTAATTTTTTATCATAGGTACACTTCAAATGTGAGAGACGGAATCTAAAACAAAAATCCAGAAAATCACATTGTATGATTTTTAAGTAATTAATTTGCATTTTATTGCATGACATAAGTATTTGATACATCAGAAAAGCAGAACTTAATATTTGGTACAGAAACCTTTGTTTGCAATTACAGAGATCATACGTTTCCTGTAGGTCTTGACCAGGTTTGCACACACTGCAGCAGGGATTTTGGCCCACTCCTCCATACAGACCTTCTCCAGATCCTTCAGGTTTCGGGGCTGTCGCTGGGCAATACGGACTTTCAGCTCCCTCCAAAGATGTTCTATTGGGTTCAGGTCTGGAGACTGGCTAGGCCACTCCAGGACCTTGAGATGCTTCTTACGGAGCCACTCCTTAGTTGCCCTGGCTGTGTGTTTCGGGTCGTTGTCATGCTGGAAGACCCAGCCACGACCCATCTTCAATGCTCTTACTGAGGGAAGGAGGTTGTTGGCCAAGATCTCGCAATACATGGCCCCATCCATCCTCCCCTCAATACGGTGCAGTCGTCCTGTCCCCTTTGCAGAAAAGCATCCCCAAAGAATGATGTTTCCACCTCCATGCTTCACGGTTGGGATGGTGTTCTTGGGGTTGTACTCATCCTTCTTCTTCCTCCAAACACGGCGAGTGGAGTTTAGACCAAAAAGCTCTATTTTTGTCTCATCAGACCACATGACCTTCTCCCATTCCTCCTCTGGATCATCTAGATGGTCATTGGCAAACTTCAGACGGGCCTGGACATGCGCTGGCTTGAGCAGGGTGACTTTGCGTGCGCTGCAGGATTTTAATCCATGACGGCGTAGTGTGTTACTAATGGTTTTCTTTGAGACTGTGGTCCCAGCTCTCTTCAGGTCATTGACCAGGTCCTGCCGTGTAGTTCTGGGCTGATTCCTCACCTTCCTCATGATCATTGATGCCCCCGAGGTGAGATCTTGCATGGAGCCCCAGACCGAGGGTGATTGACCGTCATGTTGAACTTCTTCCATTTTCTAATAATTGCGCCAACAGTTGTTGCCTTCTCACCAAGCTGCTTGCCTATTGTCCTGTAGCCCATCCCAGCCTTGTGCAGGTCTATAATTTTATCGCTGATGTCCTTACACAGCTCTCTGGTCTTGGCCATTGTGGAGAGGTTGGAGTCTGTTTGATTGAGTGTGTGGACAGGTGTCTTTTATACAGGTAACGAGTTCAAGCAGGTGCAGTTAATATAGGTAATGAGTGGAGAACAGGAGGGCTTCTTAAAGAAAAACTAACAGGTCTGTGAGAGCCGGAATTCTTACTGGTTGGTAGGTGATCAAATACTTATGTCATGCAATAAAATGCAAATTAATTATTTAAAAATCATTACAATGTGATTTTCTGGATTTTTGTTTTAGATTCCGTCTCTCACAGTTGAAGTGTACCTATGATAAAAATTACAGACCTCTACATGCTTTGTAAGTAGAAAAACCTGCAAAATCGGCAGTGTATCAAATACTTGTTCTCCCCACTGTATTTAGATTTTCTTTTTTTTATGAAGAAAATACTCCATTCTGAACATAAATGACTTAAACCAGTTAGAAAGTGTGTAGCATTGATAATGAACTATTTAAAAAAAAGAATTTAATCTTTGAAACATTTTTCTTCAAATCACATCATTTTCAATATAGAACTATTAGCAGCGCTATTTTGGTGGATTTTGTGGTCTCAAACTAGTCAGTTTATTAACATTCTTCATCAAGAATATGGGCAAAATTTAGTTATTGACAATGAAAGAAGTGGGAATGTAGTTCTCTTGTCATATAATTGCTACGTTTTCTATCAATATAGCATTAAAAATAGTTTTCCAGATTGTATTTTGACAATTATTTTTCGCAATGAGAATATTGGGTCATGACTGAGACAACCTGGTTCAATTTGGGTCCCGAGGCAAAACCAGTTGAGAACCACTGCTGTAGGTCACAGCTGTAGCCTTACCCCCATGCACCTGTTGCGAAACAATGATGATTACAATGGAACAGTGCCCTTCTGAGTTAGGGAGAGATTGTTCATAAATGGGAATAGCTTGTTCATAAGTGGGCACGACATCTTGAAACTCCATTGTAGACTACAGTACTTACCTTGCTTTGAAAAGTACAGTACTTGAAGCGAATCATTGTCCTCGTTGACCTGGTTTTCATAACATAATATCTCCTTTAATAGGGAAGAATCCTACATCCTCTTGTACACTGGTATAATCCACTCTTTGACTTCCAGTACAATTGAGTCTATCAGAGCATGTCTAGGGTCCTAGACATGCTCTGATAGAGAGAGAGATTCTATTGACGAGTGTTTTGGCCTGGAGGGCTGATATTTCAGATATGAAGGCTGTACCACTGCGGTGAGTCAGAAGTCACTAATAAAAGCACTGAACGATAGGCCAAGGCACCAGCAAGGCTGTCCATTCAGCACGGCAGAGAACAGAGTGTGTGAGGGTGGTATGTGTGTTTACGTGCGTGCGTGCACACACGCATATGTGCCTGCCTTAGTTGTGCATTTGTGTATGTGTGTGCGTGTGTTTATGGATGCGTAGTCCTGTCAAAATGTCCAATCATCATAATATGCAGTTAAACATTGCTAGACAGAATCAGTGGGGAGGTATTATGATCAGTAGGGCAACCTGAATATTTTCTTCCTATCTAATAAACAAACCTGCAGTTAATCATGTTTTGTAGCAGAATGTGGTTTGAGCACACATGCATTCTTATCAGATCATCTATGCAGGCTTTAAAAGATTCAGCCTGACCTTTCTCATAACTGACTCTTGTCTAGGTTGCAAAGTTCTGGTAACTTTACCAAAATTCCCTGCTTCTCCAGAAATCCTGGTTAGAATACCTTTTTTTTGTCTATTCCTTTCTGATTGGTGAATGTTCCAACTGGGATTTGTGGAAAACCTGGGAATTTAGGGAAAGTTACCCCAATTTTGCAACCGTACGCTTGTCTAGCACCTACTGATGCACCCTTGGGTCTGGCCAGGGTCACACACTAGTTGTCTCATGACTCTGGGAGAAAAATAACCAAAGGGTATGGAGCTCAGTGTAAAGCATTTAGAATGATTGATTTACACCACAGAATGAGACACAGCTGGTGCCTGTCTGGCTCTTTTCAATTCCTTTGGTGTTGTGACATCAAACAATGTTTTTGCTGTAAGCAATGTCAGTGTGGCTCTGTCCTGGGATTGACATTTTCTCACTAGGAGAGAGAGAGAGAGCTGGTTAGGTTACATTCAGACATTTGTTCATCAAACTTACTCAGTGTTCCTATGCTTATGATCCTACACAGTGTAGCTACCGGCTAGCGGCTGGTCCCTGTTGACCAGACAGACCT